GGGTGGGGGGGGATTTTCCACATAATAAAGTTGACCAATATTCAATACAATGTATAAATTGTAGCTTTGGTGTACAAGATGTGCCTTAAATTTTAGACGTTTCTGGGGGAGAAAATAGCATCTTTTACATATGCAACTATGATAATACAAAGGTTCCAAAGGTGTGGAATGAACACCAGCCACCCTGGATTCATATTTAGGAGGACTCCCAAGAAAGTTAGATCTCCATATCCCAATGCCCTCAATCATCGCGGTAGAGCATTTGGTCAGTGACGATGCACAGTACATCAGCAATGTTTCATCCTAGAAGACAGACAATGATTTAACCTCCTTATATTGAAGCTTTATTTGTTAATCATCTGTATCAAGCACACATCAGCTCAGCAACAGTGCATAATGGGGTACATCAGTTTACATCTCATCTGAACAAAAGTCTGTTTACAGAACAGGGTACAGCAAAAAGGATAGACATGTAACACTGAAGTAAAACACAGTGCTTATGCCTTGTTCTTAAGGAACAGTGGATGGAAGCAAAGAATTAAACCAGCAATTAGGCTTGTGCTTAAGCCAGCAGTTTTGGGGGAGAGGGGAGAACATCTGTGAAAAGCTACATTGGTCTGTCTCTTTGCATATAATAAATAGGCTGATGTGCAAAAAATTGCCATCTCTCACCAGTACTGTCCAAGTATCTTTGGCTGTAAGTGGAACCAGCCCGTAGCCACAACCTGGTGTAAACCTAACATTTGATTGGCACTAGACTACAGCGTCATAGTTTCATAGTTACTAGGGTTGCAAGGGACCTGAGCAGGTCATCAAGTCCGACGCCCTGCCATGGGCAGGAAAGAGTACTGGGGCCAAACGACCCTGGCTAGGTGTCTATTTAGCCTCCTTTTGATAGGAGCGAGAACCACTTCCCTTGCAAGTTGGTTCCAGATCCTAGCTGCCCTGACTGTGAGGAAGTGCCTCCTGATATCTAACCCGAATCTACTCTCCGTCAACTTATGGCCATTATTCCTTGTTATTCCCAGTAGTGCTTGGGGGAACAGGGACTCTCCCATTGCCTGCTGGCCTCCCTTGGCCAGTTTATAGATGGCCACCAGATCCCCTCTCAGCCTTCTCTTGTGGAGGCTGAACAGGTTCAGGTGTCGTAGTGTCTCGTCGTAGGGCCTGCCCTGCTGCCCCCTGATCATACGAGTGGCCCTCCTCTGGACCCTCTCCATGTTGTCCACATCCCTCTTGAACTGCGGTGCCCAGAACTGGACGCAGTACTCCAACTGCGGCCTGACCAGCATTGCAGAGGGGGAGGATCACCTCCTTGGACCTGCTCGTGATGCATCTGTGGATGCATGACAAGGTGCAGTTAGCCTTCCTGACTGCATCCCCACATTGGTGGCCCATGTTCATCTTGGAGTCCATAATGACTCCAAGATCCTTTTTTGCCTCTGTGCTGATGAGGAGGGAGTTCCGCAGCCTGTAGGTATGCTGCTGGTTCTCTCTCCCTAGGTGTCATTTGTCAATATACTGGAGGGCTATGGGCAGGGGCCATTATCTAGCAACAGGCCAATCTGATGTGACCTGAATTAATCTTTCCAATAGGAGCTACATTAAGTTTCAGTGAAGTTAACAAATGCAATACAAATGTGTTCCCTGCAATTAACTTGTGTGAAGCATCTCTCTCTCTCTAGTTCCTGAACACCTTGCCTTGAGATGAACCACAGCTGTAACAAGAGCACGATCAAAAGCAGTGGAACCCATTAAGCCAAGCTGTTAGACTAACATTCCAGGACCCCACTGCTCATGACAGATGGCACTGATCTTGGCACTGACCTGGCACAGATGGCACTGATCTAAGTCGGTGATGGAGGTGAACAGAAGATTTGGAATGCTGTTATAGGATGCTGTGTGACCCTGGGGACAGCATTCCACCAGTTTCCAAGTACAATGACAGAAGCTAAAATCATACCAAAAGATATAGGCAGGTGGCCAGGGGAGAAAAAGAAGGATTAAAAAGAAAAAATAAAGGGAAAAAAAAGGCAACCTTGTTAGAACCTATAAAACGGCTTTGTCTTCAGATTGTGAAGCAACTCTCACAGCAAGACAAAGAATTTCTTTCTATCTGATCAAGTTGTTTAAATCTGGTCAATTCCAAGGAAGGAGTTAAACGCCAAGTACTAGGACACATGTAAACACACCCGGAGGAAGGAGTGGAATGTTTCTAATAGCGCATTTGTGCAATTCCAAAAGAACATGTGGAAAAGGTCATGCTGCTCATTGTGGAGACATGCCTCCCACTGCCTTGTTCTTGAAGACATGATTAAGTACCACTGTTGGCTTTCACATTATCAGCTGGCTTCATTCAGTACAACAATTTACAAGGAAATGGTTTTATTTTTCCCTGACCAGTAAACCTGAAAATGTTGGCTCTGACTGGGTCCTTTCTCTCCCCCGCTTCTAGTGAGCTCTAACTCAATCAAATTTCCCTTCCCCACCTTCAGATAATACAGAATAGATTTTTCCTTTCTTCTGAAAGTCAGGCTAATGATCTACAGATTAAACTAGGTTTCCTAGTTAATTTTTTGCAGGTAAGGATAGGGGTAGGAGACACAACAGAACCTGGCTACAGGTACTACATGCACCTTCACAGAAGCTGTGTCCTGTGATACAGTTATCACATTACTGCCATTTATGTCTCCAAGACATCTGGACTTTACCCAATGCAAATAACTGAGGCTGAGTTAGAAACAAATACATACATTTCAAGAGTAAAGACCTGATCTTACACTAACATCTAAGACATCACCTAAAAAAATTCTGGGGATGGGTGTGAATGGTCAAAGGAAAGGCTTTAATGATAAAACACCATTATTCAGTGGTATGAGCAATATGGGTTACAGCAACTTCTGCATCTGCCCATATCACAAGCAAGGAGCCAAAGCACTTTTTTTTTTTTCTTGAGGGGTCTGTCTCTTTCAATAGTTGGTCACACTGAGGTATTTTTTTCCCCCACTTGAAATGCTGTTCAGGCCCCATAATCAGTGCCCTGCCCAATTTATGGCAGGCTCCTACACAAAGGAAAAAAATTAATAAATCCATCCACTGTTAAGAAAAGGCATTTAATTATTTAAAAAAACTAGTAGCATACCAACAAACATCATATATCAGTGATCTCCAGCCACTGGTAGACCAAAGCAAAGGAGACCAGCAAGTGTTATACACACACCCTATGCTGCAGTTCAGCATCATTGCTCTCTCACTTAACACCGACATCAGACATTCATACAAAGTGCGTTTCATTGTAATGGAAATCTCACTGCTGCAGACAGTTCAGATGCCATTCAAGGTTTCTAGCGAGTCAGTCTTTCAGGTCATCTGGTGGCCCTTCCCCTCACCCTCACCACTCCAGCAATACAAACATCATCAGTGAGGTCACAATGGTACCCAGTGTTGCACCCCACAGAGATGGGAAGGTTTGGTCATTATTTCACTGCTGGACAACAGGGCTCTATCCACTTGAGTCTGGTCACTCTGGTAGCTTACCAGTTACAGTCAGGGGAGACCATGGTTAAGACAAACAAGGAGACTGTTGCCTTAAGTGAAATAGCTTCTCTCTGCTGTGGGAATGAGTGATGGCACTGATCTCCTATCTGCCTCTTGAAACCCATGTGCAAACTTCACTGTGATTGTTCCCCTCCAGCCCCAGATCAATTTCTCTTGGCAGTTTGACAGTCACACAAAAAAGATTCTCTGCACTGAGGGCACTCAGCTGCCTTGGGTAGGTCTGTTTCACTGAATCTTCCTTAGTATGCTGGTCGCTTTTTGTCCCTGGCACATTGGCTACACCTCAGCTCTAGTGCCTCGCTCTTGGGTTGTACTGATGCAGCTACTGTAAAGATCCCAAAAGGTCACACATAATTGCTCTTAAATGCTGCATATCTTAGATGTCAGCTAGGATTGTACTTATACCCACACATGAAATAGTATCACTGGAAGACATCTGACATTGATGCATTCCTGCATAAGCATCCATGCCACGCTGGAACAGATCCCACAGCTTCTTGGTAAACAGTCATAGCTCAAACAGTTCAATGCTGTGCTTTAGAGGGCCATGTACGCATGGCAGATTGTTTGGGACCTTCAACTGAGGCTCAAGAGTTAGAGCTGAATGGCTGGCTGCAACTTAATTCCATGCCTGCTGGACCTATCATTGTTGCCTGTAGTGGGAGGTCACCTCAAGGAGCCAACCTAGTGAGAATGGAGAAAAGGGGTAGTGGCTGTAGGCAACAACCCTGGCAGAGCTAGGCAGAACCTTAAGCTAAAAAATGCCAAGCTAAGAATGCTTCAAATCATCAAGTGGATGATTCTGAGGAAGCAGAAATCAGCCAAAGGCATCTGAGCACTCCAGACTCAAGTCCTGGATCCTTCACTGGAAAAACTAGCCAGCCTTGATAGACCCGATTCAGCTAGAGTTGCTCAACTGCCTTGTTACTGCATTGGATACACATCCAGGATCTAGCAGTGCAGCCTGGCTGACTCCCACTTGCCTAGCTCAAACAAGGCTGAGGGCAAGCGACCTATTAAAATGAGACCCGAGCAGAGAAGCAACTTCCAGCTTCTGATAGAGCTCTGCGGAGGCTGGCGAGTTCCAACAGGCAGAGCCCTGGCTAGTGGAGTCTGGCTCCTTGAGGAGCTGAAGCCAGGCTCTGCTATGACAATCACTGCAACAGGTCCGCAATAGGCCCCTGGTGCCTAGGCCTATAAAAGGGGTGCGAGTCCTTCAGAGAGCTCAAAGCAGTCAGGAGGGAAGTTGAGATATGTTTTTCAGCAGGGCCAGTGTGAGGTTAGTGGAGGAAGGCCTAGGTCAGAAGCCCCGGAAGGTCATGGTGGCACTCTAAGGTGTGCGATAAAGGACAGGCTGTTAAGTTTTCTACTCACTTTGACAAAATGACCCTAGGCAGGGGGATTGTGGGGAGTGGGGGAGAATAATAATGTCTTATTTCTCAGTCTGTCTCAGTCTCTCAGCCATCATCAGCTCTGCTAAATTGAGAAAGTATACCCTAGAAACCTTCCTTTGCTAGTGAGGGATTGCTACTGCCCATGACAGGGTAAGAGAAAACATTCAAGCCAGAGACAATGGTGAAAAGAAGGTTACTGTTTCAGCAGGCTGCATTGGCACAGATAAAGAGGCTCAGTGAAGCTCTCAACCAGAAGAAACTTGTGCAATTATGTGAATTCCCTCCCTCCCCACAATAAAGACTGAGAAGATCCAGACCTACCAAACAGTAGGCAATATTAGAGGACTTACTCACTTGCTTACATGCCTGTGCATGGTTCAGATACAACAGGAAACAGCTTCTAACTGCTTTTTACTATGCTGCAAAGCTACAGGTGCATCCATAAGGATCCTGTACTGAGAAACAATGGATCTGGTTTCAACCACACTGTTCTATAGAAAGCTTACTAGGCTGGCTCTTGAGAAGTCCTCTCTCAAAAGCTGGTTCAAATTCAGCTTTTTCTGAAGTTGCATGGTGCCTTTCTGTATTCAATCAAAACTGTAGAGGGAAGTTACAGGGGCCAGACTGCAATGGCTAAGACAACCCTGATTAACATCCTGAATCCTCACCAGGAAACAGACAACCAAAAAGAACCCTAGGATCTTTCCTGGGTAGGTGCTCAGATCCTTGCTTTCACACGGCATCAAGGGACAAAGCTACTCAAGGAGTCTGCATTTTGCAGGTGTATTTGGTTCAAATCTACTGAATTAAAGCTATCCAACAAAAAAGCCCAACCAACATCTTTGACAGAATCAGCTCTGCCAAGACGCACAAGAATGTGACTCTCCATCACAGCAGGCAGCTCTCCCTCCTGGGCTAAGGATTAGCAGCTCCAACAATTGAAAACACTTTCTTTTTTTTAAGCACAGGTAAACCTTTTTTAAAGCACAGGATCCAACTACAAACACTCTTCCTATGAATACTTCAAGCCATCCAGCTACCCTCAATATGCCAGGAAAGGAAGAGCTAGATAGTAATCTATCCTACAGAAAAGAAGGGGACAAAGGGAACAGCCATGGTAGTAATGGCAGTTATTGGGGCATATGGGAACCAACAGGTGTGTGGACTGCCCTGGGAGCAACCAAATTGCTGGCCCAAACAGTGGCACCCAGGCCAAGAGCTAGAGGGGCCTGGGGAGAGCCAGGATGATGCCTGTATGCCAGAGACAGCCTACAAGGAGGGAAGAACAAGACAACAGCATGAGAGCTGGGCAACAAGCCTGAAAATGGCCTGGAAGCAGCTGCAGAAGGATCCTAGCCCAGGTTTGGTTTCATTTGATAGAGGAGTGTTTGGGAGCCTTCACCCAGGTAGGGAAAGCACCACGTGAGGCAGTGAAGATCCACTAAGCTTGCATTTAGGTTACGGGGCCAATTCACCCTCCTGGATGATGGACACCAAAGAGGTACAAGCAGCCTGCTAGATTATGAAATGGCAGCACCACTGTACAAAGCAGGGTTTGGGGCACTTTCTCCCCTTTTGCTCTTCCCTAAGGAAGCAGTTTGGTGTTTAAACCAAAGCTCAAGCTAACATGTGACTATCAGGACTGGGCTGGTCTCCTGGGACTGCAGCAAGGGATGCCAAGCCTGCTAATTTACCACCAGGAAGTTAACACCTGGGTGGCAAACTGGCTGTGAGGATGAAGAACATTGCCAAATCTCTCCATACTGTTTAGTATCTAGAAAAATTGAGTCTTTGAAGTCCTGTGCAGGCACACCCTTCACCTTCTGTTTTCACTATATACCACTCTTAGCTCCCATCAGACTCCTCAATGTAAATTCATCAGACACAGCATGCTCCCATCCTGGCTACTTGTAACTCCTGCATATGCACTCCTGTCTTTTCCTCGCAGCCCCTTCCTGTGGTCTCACAACTCAGTGCCCCTGCACGGGATGCTCCATGCTCATCTGCAACACAATCCTTCCTTGCCCTCAAGTCCATGGATTAATACCATCCCTCCACACACTCCTCCACTCACCTAACTGGTGGTTACAAGGCTCCCTCCCAAGCACCCCCATGGATGCCTCCCCTTTTGATACACTTCTCCCATCCAGGGCTTGTCTAAACAGGAAAGACAAACACTGAGCTGAGACAAGGACTGTCATGCTTAGTCATTCCAGCTGACCAAATTTTAAACAACACTACCCCTCTGCACAAAGTATTTAACAAGTTGGCAAGTGTTGTGTTAACACTGCATTTTGAATGTCGACAAGGCCTTGTCATTCCCTACCATGGCTAAGCTCAGCAAACAGAGCAGTGAAGGCAGGGGTCAACAGCAAGTCAGTTCACATATCAATACGTCTGGAATTTTGGTAGTTTAAAAATCATCTCCTCGTGTGCCAAAGCAACCACTAAACATACCGTCTCCCACTCCTCCAGGACATTACAGGTAACTTCTCGGCAAGGCTAACAAAAGCCAAGCAAGCCATGTTCCCTATAGCCAAGCCCCACTGGAGGTACAGCCAACTGACATGCTCAGGAAAAGGCTGATCAGTGAAGCAATCATCAGTTAAAATTTAAAAAACATTATGTTAAAACTCCTTTGTTGATTTTTACCAAATTTCTCAGGGGGTAAAATAATACCAAACACTTCTTCTTGGCCTGGAAAAAAATTCAAGACGACTGGTTCTGAGTAAGTGAAGGGAAAGTACAAAAATGGGAAGCTAGTTTCAACTTCAGCCATGTGTGGCAGCAGCTGCTCCACATCAAAGAAGGAATTAAGACCAATGCAACTTGCAAAATGCTACAGACTTCAGCTCTCACTTGACATACAGTATGTGCATATTAGCAATATCAGCAGGCAAGGTCAAGTGCAGAATTCTGGAAAGTCCAGTGCTGGCAGGATGCCACCAACTTAACTGCCAAAATGCAGTTCTCCCCAGAGAGGGACAGCTCAGACAGCTATGCCAGCATGTTTCTGGTAGAAAAATGAATTAATCGGGGCTCAGGACAAGAATGATGAAAAAAGTGCCAGAGGTTCAAGCCTGGACATTCTGCTCCCTCGACCCCACAGGGCTACTTGACTCTAAGTCTGAAAGGAGAAATGGAAGTATCGGTCTCAGATGAGATATCAGAGATGGAGGTGGGGGGAGAAAACCAGATCTGCAAATCCCATGGAAGAGCAGCCTTCTAACTGCTGCCCTGGAACTGGTGCACAAGTGATTCTCGCTCAGTGGTAAAGAGGCAAGAGTAGAGCCAAATCCTGATTTTGACCACTAACTGGTATTGGAGGGACCCTACGTTGAAGCAACAATGCTGGTCACAGCCAAACTGTTGCTCTCCCAAGAGCATCTAATTCCCAGACTTGCTAACCCTATTGTTCCCAGTGGCACTGGGAAAGACAGCACCCCAGAAAAGGCCCCCAGTCAATCAAGTAGGATCATTTTGTTATGAAAGATCTTGGATTGCCTCAGGCCCTTGTGTAACCAAAGAAGGACCAAAAGTGTCAGTGCTTGCTGCCTACCACTGCAATTCCAATGGATTAACACTGGCTACAGCAAAAGCAAAAACAAAAAACAAAACCCCAACACACAACACAATAGAAGCCAAGCATGAAAACTACAATAGATAAATATTTGTTCTCCCCTAGAAGTCTTAAAAAGGAATACTGCATGCTCCAGCTTTCCTTTACAAAAATGCTTACGTGGCATGGGCTATGTGGCACTAGAATGCAGAACATTTAGTGCCAGCAATAGTTATTAGCTAGAAGAGGTGACTCCATGTATTCAAAGATACTGTATAACTTTAGTTACAAGGTGCTACAGGGGTTGTCGGGACTAAAATTGGCACTTTCCCTGAAGAAACTGCTCTGTATCCGTTCACTCTCTTCCTAGCCCATGCACCCATATAAATTTACCATCTGCCTACAGGTTCCCTCACCAACACTGGTGTCATTTCCCTGACAATGTTAGTGAACATTTAGTGCTGAGGGAAGTTTTAAAGGTCTTCTTGGGTCAGGAGTCAGTGACTTGACACCCCTACAGGCCAGATGGATCCAGTCTCAAGGTGGCCCACTACTTCATTAGATGTGAAGTCCTGAAATCTTCTCCACCCATCTCAGAAGTGGGGGCTTCTGCTTGTTTCTTTACCTGGTTTATCAGGAAAGTCAGTCAAGCCTTCCCTGTATCTGATAGAGGCCCTTTGGGGTGCCTAAGAGCACATAGACTATTGACTCTTCCCTTTTACTGAAGGACAAGTTGAATATTCAGCAAAATCACCAGTTCTCAAGAACAATAAGTGTTAAAGTGTTGAAATAAAAATAAATGTAATGGCCTAGAAGTACCTGTCAATTAACTACTTGGCCTTCACATCCCATGCTAATATCACTACTCCAGTCACCCGAGAGCCTTCCAAGACAGGGAAGAGACATATTTCTAATGTAACCAAACAAGCAGAAAAAATGTAAGCAATTGAAGCCAGGTGGGCCTCCTTTGGACTTCATAAAGCAGCAATAAAGGGCACAAGCCCAGTGTCTGTCCTTCACTGATCTTCCCTTAAGTTACTCCAAAGCAGGGCTAGGAAGCTCTTTGTACATTCAATTGTAAAACACAATGAAATGAGGAAGAGAAGCTAAAACTACTCTCCTGATTGTTACTGCCGTCTAGAGCAAGGTTTGGTACAGATATCCTCTCTTATAGGCACTCAGTGGGTAAAACGTAGCCACAACAAACTTGCCATCGAACATCTTTCCAGTCAGCATTTTCTGGGCAGCTTTGGAATCACCAGCATTTGCATATTCAACGAAGACCTGAAAAAGAGAAAACAAATGAACAAACAAACAAAGCTAGTCATGCCCATCACCTCATGTCTCCTATCTATTTTATTCATCCCTATTGTTTATTGTTTGCTTATACTTGCCTCTCTCTCTTTCCTTGTTAGGAATAATTCTTTAAAAATAAAGACTGCTTTTCCCTCTTTTAGCTTTGAAGGTCCCCCTGCTTCCCAGGAAGCTCACTCATGAATGAGAAGATAAGTGGTTAACGTCTTGAACTGATACCAAGACAAAAAGTGATTAAAATTCTACCTTTAATTACTCATTTCTCTAGATAATACATTTTGGTTATTTCTGAGACAAAGCAACTTAAAATGTTAACTGTTCATCTCCCTTCACCCAACCCTCCATGTTTCTTCTCTCCTTCTTTCTTGTCATCCAAATTTCCCCTTTGAAATTTGGTGCGTCTCAGGTTGGGAAACACTAAACCACTTGGAAAGATGTATGCTGCCATGCAAGGCAACCAGCCATTTTGAGTTCCATAGCACTGGCGTCATCCAGCAGACAGGACAAATGAGGATGTCAACCTCAAGATCAGATCCCCTTACCCTCTCCCCACCCCCACACTTACTTGGCCTTTGCCAGGATTCTCCTTTGGAATAAGCAAGGAAACCACAGGTCCATATTTCTGACACTCCTCTCTAATATCTTCCAGTATATCTAGGAAAAGAAAGACATTTCATAGTTTCATTTGTCCTTCACTCAAGCTATCCTACATAATACACTAAAATAAGGTAACATAAATGTTCTAAACATTGGTGCCCCAAGCTGAGACAATTGTCAGTGTATGTTTGGCTCTTCTGACTCTGTATGCCTCCGAAACCCTGTGTCATGATAACTCAACACATTTGGAATCCAGACATAGATGGCTCAGGGCTAACCCTGCTAAGACCCACAGAACAGCAGCAGCAAGAGTAAAGACGTCAAAAACTTTGCAAATATTGACGACTTCATAGCACTCAGCGACTTTCCCCATGTAGGATGTGGCGAAGGACTCTGGAGAAAGCTTCACAGTGCTTGTATGCATCCTTATTAAGGATGGCTTGCTTAACTAGCTTCCAGTTTGATTAAAGATTCTTCCTCTGGCTCCAGACCACTTCTTCCTTATCTGAGAAGAAGTGCTTTTCTTCAGGTTTTGAGGAAAGGGTGGTATTGGGTTAACTTAAAGCAAGGCTCAGCCTTAATGACACAGGGGCTGCTAATCCTCTTCATTGAACAGCAACACCCTAGGAGGGGAAAGCAGCCTCATGGGGCAGCAAGTCCATTTCTCTATTTCCTGCCCCTCATGACTGCTCCACCTCTCTGCTGACCCAAGATCTGTATATCTAGTTCAGTCAGGCAGGAGACACTGGCTCAATGAAGACTAAGCATTTCCAGCACACTCAGGACTGAAAACCAAAGAGCATCAAGGACTATGGTCTAAGAGAAGGGGTTAACAAACTGAAAGGCAGGGCAGCTGCACCTTTTCCAAAAGAAATTTGCTTTGTAGGATGATCTGTACTGGGAGGGAAGGCTGAGGGAACCCAGGGTCTCCAGAAAGCTACAGAAGGCCCAAGGGAATGTGAAGCCCAGTTCCACATTCACTTGGGTACATGGTAGCACACTGCAAGATGCTGCAAATCCTAGTGTATCCTAAAAACACTTGCACAAATAGAGCAGCAACCCAGGACTGGTGAGTGTAAATCCCAAAATTCTCTACTTTTTCTGGGGTCCCACTGAATCCTACTGGAGAATGTGAAGTTAAGTCATATTAGGAAAGAGGCTGCCACCAGCTCTGGTCTTTAGGGACTGGTGGAACTTGTATTTCTTTCTTGCAGTTGGTGGGTATGTGACTTTTCTGCCTCTGGCTCCCTGCTACATGAAGAAATGTGAAGGTCCTGCTTCTGGCTGGCTTAACGGTACAGTAGCTCCAAACATATCACAACATGTCCCTACAGAGAAGGGATCTGAAGACTGCCGGAGAAGTACAGAATAGATGCTCTGTGATCCCTTCCTTTAAAGGAAATTCTTGAGTATCCTCAGGTAGGAAAAGAAGCTACTTAAACAGTAGCTTCACGTCCCAGACTCTAAGGCACACAATAACACTATTTAGCCCCTGATATGCGACAAGGAGGCTCTTCCTTTGAGCTGAAGGCTGATATTTGGTGGGGGTGTTGCCCTCCAACTCCCCTCTCCCTCACCTCTAACCTCAAGACGAAGATCTTTAGTCTTTCAAGCAAACTCTCTCAATGGGCCCCTTCAAGGGGTCCAAGCACACACTGATGTTGTGTTACTTGTTTGACCACTAAATTGGGGACTGTGCCAGGCACACAACCATATGTAACAGATGCAGTGAATCAGCAATTCAGAGCAGGTAGACCACTCAGCTGAACAGGGTTTGGAGTGCATGGCTGGTATTTTGTCTTGTATGGGCACAGAGCTATAGCCTTGGGCAACTAGAATCAGGTTTAATGAGTACACTATTTGGTTACATCACTGAGGGTCTGGATAAGCAATCAAATGGAAGCAAGTTAGCAGGGAGGGGGAGGGAAATCGAGGGAGCAGGGAATGATCGCAGAACAACCTGATGCATTAAGTGGTCTATGTGCCCACAATTACCTCATGGTAAACAAAAGCTAAACTGCAGCAGGTTAGCCTGGTTTCATTTAGCATTCTGTGTTGGGGTCCTGGTTGTGGTTCACTCACTTTAATTTGACTGTGTATCCATATGCTTACCAGAGGAGTGAAACCAAACCAGCTGCTACTAGACCACCTGTGTGTGAGCCCAGGCAGCCCCACAGGCCCAGAGAAGCTCCGTACCTTTTACCACTCATTTGGACTTTAGAGCTAGCTTCTGCTATGCAGGAGTGAAAGTTTTGGGGGGGTTTCCACTGCTATGAGCCTATGGAATTTTGCTACAATTTAAACAGATGGTTTTAATTATCTGATGCTGCCTCAGCTAATTTATCTGTTACAGCTTTTCAGAGTACTCCTACTGGCTTCCATATGACCCCCTCCTGTGTATGCCCAGCAAGAGCCTCATGCAGCTGACACACTGTTTTTAAGCACAGCAGCTTCATAGAGACAGTTTAAAGTAGCTCTTCTTGCTTTCAAGACGCTTCATAAACTAGCGCAGTTACTGTATTGCTGTCTAATGAATCTGTTCTCAGCTGATGCAAAAGCATTCTTTCCAATCCATGCAACCAAAACAATCTTTACTTACCTGCTCAAGGCATTTTCGACCTCTGATGCTTTTTACTTAAATTACCAAAAAAGTGCTCCTTTGACTACTCCATTCTCTACAGCATTTGAGGATGTGGGTGTGCACAGTGACATGGCTACACATTTGCAACTGTATTGCATATACCAACCTTCATATTCTTCTTCAGTCTGAAGAGAGGCATCACTCAAAACATTTAGCAGCCTCAGCACAGGAGTTGGAAGCATCACCAGGTCTTCAATATGGGGAGCTGTTTGACAACATAGTTAGATTGACAGAAAGGTATTAAATAAAAAGATGAGCATGAAAGCAGTGAGACAGGGAGAAGGTTTGTTTGATAATAATCCACATAATACCAGTACTTTTTGTACATCCCCCCGGCCCCTCAACTATAATCCTAAATTCAAAGCTTTTAGCAATGCTGTGCCCAACTGACCTCTTTGTTTGCATATTAATGAATTATGCAAATTCCCCATCCTCATTTCCCAGAAAAGCTTTCTGTGCACTCTGTGCCAGTGCCAAGGCCAGAAGGTTTGTTTACCCAGAAGCGGCAGGTAAAAGTGCTTTGAAAGGCACAGAATCAGTGTGAAACAAGACTAGAATGACTGCTACTCAGTTTGGTTTTTGAAGTGTATATGTAGTCTCGTGTGACTAAAAGCAGTCAGGACATACCAGGATATGGAGGCTGTGTGATGATAAACAGAATTATTAACCATGCCATTGTCTTTCCCAAAGCCTACTGTTACTGCAGGACTCCCACTCTTGCATCCTAAGTTCAAGCAGAAGAGGGGTGGGTACCTCTCCCTCAGATTTTGGATGAATGCTTCTTTATTCCAGAAACTGTTGCCTCAGCTCCCTTTAAAATATATTCGGTCAGTTGTAAGGCAATGGTACGTGTTGTTGCCACACTGCTTTTTTTTTTTTTTTTTTTTTT